TTTTTCCTATATTTTTTTTTCTTATGTCGCTTCGTTCTCGATTTAAGTTGTATTTTTGAATTATTCAGTAGTGTGCAGAAGTTTAATATTAATATTTTTCTTTAAAACGAAGAAAGATACATAAAAAAGTAGTAGCACATAATATATGAATAGTTTAATGTGAACTATACATCTTACTCATTTTGAATTTATTATCCGAAAATATTTGAAAACAGATTGAGTTTCAATACAAATTAATTTTTACCATAATTTCACAATACATGAAGATCTTAACTGATATTAAATCCTAGTTATAAATAATAAACACTAAAAAGATTGTGATTATCACAAAGTAGACAATAAATTATACAAAATATTTAAAAAAAAAATGTCATTTGATATAGCAAAGCGGGAATTCATAAGAATCGTGCACTTTGTGACAAGTCTTTGAAATTTGTTGTAGTTTTAGTTAGGTATGGTCTTAAGGATTTAAGAAACCATCGCAAGCAACTTATGAGCGACCTCTGGTAGTCTGTTTGCTATAAATCCAATATGGCTGTCATCTGTATTGGTATTTTTAATAGACGGGCTTCTATTAGGCACAAAATCTTGAGTAATACCACTTTGTATGGGTTCTAGGAAGCGATGAATCCATTTCACAATCAATTTCAAGTTCATTAAGTGATATGACGGACTAAACAATACAATGTGAGGTAAAAACAATTTTTTTTTATGTAATTTATTAGTTACAAAATTTAAAGAAACTACATGGTTGACACAAATATGATAGAATCTAATGTAATTTACAGCCTTGCAACATGATATGATACTTGTTACTTCATATATCATATATCATGTGAGAAATCATCAATATTAGCCTATGGTCATGCTTGGACACTTAAAAATAGCTTCGTGATGAGCGCTACATTTGCTTTTGCTGTTCTTGACTTACTGGGTCCCTTGTTAAGATTCGCAGGCGACCGGTTGCTTATATTTATTTCAGAATGTTATGAAGAAAATTTAATGGAAGATTCTACATCTAAAAGTATGAAAAAAAATTTATATGAACATGGGTCCCAAAATGCTGTCAAAAAGCAGTGACGTACAGTTTTTTCTCTAAACAAAAAGACGCCGACAGAGACGGCACTGGTGTAAGTGGTTTAGAAAACAATTTTGTATATGTTAATGTGACCTCTTGTTATAGATTTCTGTGTACCAAAACTCATTTCAATATCTCAACAGATTATCGATAAATGTAAAATAAACTATCAAAGACAAAAAAGTTTAAACACTGCGTATCATGAAAATGAAACATTTTCGGATCCATGTTTATATAAACTTTTTTTTATATTTTTAGATGTTAAATCTGCCATTAACAACCATTTGTAACACCCTGTATAATATACTGGTATTATGGTATTATATTAATTATATTGCTATTCTGCACCCTGCAGTAGCCTACGGCTGTTATAGGAAACGTACAAAGACAAAAAGAAATGCAATGTCACGCATCACCCTACAGTATGCTGTGGTCGTCATCAGTAAAAGTACAAGTAAAAGAAGAAAAAAGAATAGTCCAGAAATGTTTGGAAATGTCATTCCTTGTCAAGAAAAATTCGGATACTTCGAGAAGGTTTTAGAAGGTTAAGGCGGGTTATATAAGTCAATGATCCTAACGTCAGAGTTTCAATTTTATGATAGACGTTATACGTTCATGTTATGAGTTGTATAGTTAAATTGTAAAAATTGAGTTAAAATAAATTAAGATACCAGAAACCAGCGTAACAATAATATATCTAATAGAAGCTCATCTATTAAAAATACCAATACAGATGTCAGCCGTATTTGAATTATAGTAAACAGGCTACCCAGAGGTCGCGCACCAGTTGTTTGCGATGTTTTCCTAAACCAAAGACTACCTATTGTTGGCACAAAGGGCACGATTTTTATGAAGTTTTATTAATAGTTCTTAAAATCAGTTTTTCGTTATGGCTACTTGACCACACTTTGTTTATATAATGTTTTTGGGAACAAAAATTAACGTTTTTTTTGGTGCTACTGCCCCAAAAAACTATTTACCGTACGCTTAAACAGTAATTAATTTCTTTTTTCTACGTTCATGCAAAAAACAAAACTTTATTGAACTGGGTCTTTATTGCACTAGTGCAATAAAAATCATTTAATAAATAAATTAATAAAAAAATGTATTTTATTAAAAATGTCATTACAAATTATGAACACAAATGTAAATAAATGCCTCAAACAAAGGTACACGATAACGGCTACTATGATTTGGATAATACAACTGCAGTTCTATAAAACATTTTTTGGTTTTTGTATGAACGTAGAAAAAATATTGTATGCAACTCGTGCAAAAAGTGTTTATTGCACTCGACAATTTCACGTCGCGTGCAATAAACACTTACTTTTTGCACATGTTGCACAAATAACTATAAAATATAGTATAAAAAGCCTAAAATTAAAATATGCTAGATAGACCAGGGTCGATAATTTTGAAAATGGTAAAAAGTAAAAAAAAAATTATAGTAGGATGAAACCCGTTAAAAAAGGGCGAAAATATAACATTAATGAAAGGAAAAATAATTTACGGGCGATCTGAGGTCGGGAAGTGGAAGGGGGTGAGTTTTTAAGAGTAAAAAACGGTGTATCACGATTTCCGGCAAAACTACAAGTTTTATGGAAAAAACTTAAATGACAAAGTTGTAGGTAATAAAGAGGCCTACAACTTTTGTAATTACATTTTTGTCACATAACCTCAAAATTTATGTGAAAAATTCAAATAATCAAGTTTTTAGTTCTTTATTTTTATCTTATGCAACAAAAAAAATTTTTTTACGAAATTTGATGAAAACTTACATTTTTATGTCCTAAAGACACTGTAATTATTTTGATTTGAAATATTTATTTTTTCACCTTATTTTGACTTAATATCGAAAAAACACCTTAATTTTCAATCGAAAATTCTCGCGTCAAAATATCAGTTTTTTAAAAAAAGTCGAGGAGTTTTTTGTTCGTTGAAATCTCTTCTTTCTGATAATGTAAAAAAATATATACATTACTATGGTAAATGTTCTCAGAAAATGCAAAGAAAAGAAAAAACTCGAATACGAATTTTTTTTTAATCACTATGTACAATTTTGAGCTACTTAGTAAAATTTACACTTTATTTACTTGAAAAACGTAAGATTCTATGTTACATTGATAAACAAAAAATACAAATCGAAATATACTACTATAATTAGCAACCAAATAAGTTAATATTTAATAAGACATCTACAATATTTTAAGAAAATTGTAGAATATTCGTTAAATTATGTGCATAGATGCCTATTTATTGCTATTTTAAGATAACTTATTAATAAAAATAGTTAATGAAAAGATTACAATCATAAGGATTTTCCTGTAAGCAAGCAGAAGAAGATGCTGATGCAGACATTATTAAAACTTCGATAGAAATTGCAAGAGATACCAATAAAACTGTCATTGTTGTGGGTCAAGATATTGATCTTTTGGTCCTTTTGAATCAATTAACTTCAAATAATCATGACATTTATTTTCTTAAACCAGGTTCTGGAAATGTAAAAGATCTATTTTTCACGTCTAATAGTTTCAAATATGAATCCTTTAAAAATATCGTTGCATTTCTGCATTGTTTTTCTGGTTGCGATACAACATCTGAATTTGCCGGAAAAGAAAAGAAGAGTATTTTAAATTCATTATTAGACGATAAAAATGTGTCAAATGTGGCCAATATTTTTTTATAAAAAAGATGCAAACAAAAAAGATATCGAAAAAAATGGATTACAATTAATCAAATCTATTTATAAATGTAAAAATGATAATATAACACTGAATCAATTAGGATTTCAAAAATATCAATTTGCAAAAATTAAATCATCTTTCATATTGGCAAATCTCCCACCCACAGAAGGTGCAGCAGAACAACATTGTTACAGGGCATATTATCAACTTCAAACTTGGCTAGGTAACAAACTGACAGCAACAGATTGGGGCTGGAAGCAACATCAACGTGGGATTATGCCCAAATTTACAGAGAACGAGTTAATTCCGGAAATATTGCTCAAAACTATTTGCTGCAGCTGTGAAACTGGATGTAACAGTTTAAAACGTGGCTGCCGAAAACATGGCTTAAAATGCACAAATTTATGCTCAAATTGTAATGGTTCTGAAAAATGCACCAATGTGGAAGAAAAAACCTTCGAGGAAGTTAGTGATTCAGATGAAATTGTGGATGAAGGATCAATTCAGACTAAAAATAATATTGGATAAGAAGACGGTGATGGTCTTGAAGATTTCGAAGATCTACTAGAATCGGGAAGGTTTGTCGAATCTAACGATGAAGAAATGCAACCGAAGAGACAAAAAGTAATGGATAAGTGATTGTGGTTCAAGATAAGATTTATAAATAAGAAGATTAATGCATTTTAAAATATTATTATGAATAATAATAATCAGTATAAAGTATCTAAATTCAATAGTACAAGTTACATTTCTATTCATATAATGAGATTTTCTATGACATAAATGTAATTAGAATTTAATAAATAAACCTTTTGACCAAAAAAAATTGCAGCTCACATTTTTTAATTGAAATCCCCACTTTAAATCCTATCTTTAATATTTAGAACAACTGTTTTCGCATGTTTCTGGCAATATTTATGATTTATGGATTTATAATTTTTTTGTTTATCAATGTAACATAGAATCTGATGTTTTTTAAGTAATTAAAGTGTCAATTTTAGTAAATAGCTCAAAATTGTACATAGTGATTAAAAAAAAAAAAATTCTGATTCGAGTTTTTTTCTTTTCTTTGCAATTTCTGAGAACATTTACCATAGTAATGTATATATTTTTTTTACATTATCAGACAGAAGAGATTTCAACGAACAAAAACCTCCTCGACTTTTTTTAAAAAACTGATATTTTGACGCGAGAATTTTTGATTGAAAATTAAGGTGTTTTTTCGATATTAAGTCAAAATAAGGTGAAAAAATAAATATTTCAAATCAAAAAAATTACAGTGTCTTTTGGACATAAAATGGTAAGTTTTCACCAAATTTCGAGAAAACAAAAATTTTTTTTCATAAGATAAAAATAAAAAACCAAAACTTGATTATTTTAATTTTTCACATAAATTTTAAGGTTATGTGAAAAAAGTGTAATTACAAAAGTTGTAGGTCTCTTTATTACCTACAACTTTGTCATTTAATTTTTTCCATAGAATTTGTAGTCGTGCCGGAAATCGAGATACACCTTTTTTTACCCTTAAAAACTCACCCCCTTTCACTTCTCGACCTCAGATCGCCCGTAAATTATTTTTCCTTTCATTTTTGTTATATTCTCGTCCTTTTTTAACGGGTTTCATCCAACTATTATTTTTTTTGGTTTCAACAACCCTGGTCTAAGATTGATTCAAACGTGTTTGGTATTATAATTTTTTCTGTTAAATAATTTTAGCTTTAGTTTAAAATCCCTATTTTAAATAGATATTTTTTGACAATATTTGTTTACATATTTATGATTTGCATTCTCGCTTATCGTAATAATGTAATCTCTTTACTCTGTAACTATATGAATAAATTATTAACAACAAATAAATGGTTTATGAAATTATTTCATTTTACATTAAAAATATTAGTTTCTTAATTAAATGAGTAATGAAATACTAGACCTATTTCGTAAATAATGAATAATAAATAGTGAATATATCTTTACAATAAATGAGTTTCAAGTTTCAACTTAATTTGTAGGTAGGTAGTTAGCAATTTTTGAATATTATATAAACTATATGTATTTTCACTTATTATATATTTAACATTTTTTAATTTCAATATTAATTCTTTTTGATGACTTTTAAAATATATCTCTTTTTAAAAGAATATGATTGTAGAAAAAATCTTGAATGCAAGTATCAAGCGACAAAGCATCACTTTCCGCTTTAAATATACTAATATCCTTATCATTAAAACTGTCTCTAAAGTTCTAAAGGTCTAAAGTTCTAAACTTTGCATGCTTCTGAATTAAATCCAAACTGACACTTAAAACTCAAAACAATTGATAACTCTAATATCTCTTATTTTTTACAATGCCTACTCTAGAAACATAACTCCATACTTACTCATGAAATCTTTTTTATACAATTTTTGTGTATGGTTTGTACCAAAATATTATCGTTTTCGCGTGTGTTAGAACAGACCTATGGTTTTGAATTAAGTATCTGGCACAGTTAAGTTTAGCACATTTAGTCATGCTTTTTTTGTAAAACAATAATAAAAAATAGTGATTTGAACTCTACATCAAAATATTTAAATTTGTAAAAGTTTTGACAACTCTTTGATAACTATGATATGGATTCTAAGGGTGGAGAAAGTAGTGTCGCTTTTTAATCGCGTGTCATCTTCATATTATTTAACTTCATTGCTTCCAACCAACGGCCATATTGGATTGTTTTGACATGTGACTGTATACACACGTTTTTCATAGCTAAAGCGGGCACAGGTAGACTGTAAGCTTGTTGCTATGTTGGAATATTTTCGAAACTCTAAATTAACGAAGGTGGGATGAATACTTTCCAGTCTGGTCATAGCGAACTATGATTTTAATCATTTGTTTAATTTAATTTCACACCTATATCATTAGTTTTTCTGTGTTTCTGTTCAGTCGTTTGTATTTATCAGTACGCATAACTAAGTTCTAACTTTTATGAATAATGGAGAAACTTAAAATACGACCTGTTATAAAATATTTCACATTAAGGATTTAAGACCCACCGAAATTAAAGCTAAGCTGGACTATACATTAGGCTAGTCTGTTGGATGAAAGTTTTTTAACGTCGCCGTACAAGCACCAAAGATGCAGAGCATCCAGGTCAATTTAAGTTGATGGAGATAGCTGAGGCTGTGGAAATTTTAAAAGAATGAACACATCATACATTAACGGGTATCCCAAAAGTTTTGGGAAAAAGTTTGTCTGTGCTCGGCGGCGTATTAAATCAAATTTACCTAGTTAGCCATGGTAATAAACGTTGCCCTGGGTTTTGTTTACTTGGTTGACAGCCTACTTGCTATCTGTCTGTAGAGTAGACATAATGGCGTACAAAATTGAGATTCGAAAATCTATTTATAACTTTGTTGGCAGAATGCCAAAAAAAGATATCGTTAATATTTTCCGGAATCAAAATACATCTAAAACAACCATTTAGCGAACAATTCAAGAATGCGAACAAGGAATACCTTGTCTCAACCTGCCGAAAAGTGGCAGACCGGCAACGCTTACCGATGTCAGGGTAAACAGGATGGTCGAACTTGCAAAGGATACCATTGGAGTGTCAACTCGAAAGCTTTCCCGACGATTTCAAGTATCTAAATCGACAGTTTCTAGATATATTGCAAAAAAAGGCTTAAATTATAGGAAACAGACAAAATGTCCAAAGTTTAACGAGGCCCAACTTCGAAGGATTCCTTATTGTTGCCGCTTGTTACGTCTTCGTCATTTTGTGAACAACAGAAAGATTATACTGGATGACGAAAAATATTTTACATTTTCGCATGCCGACCTACCAGAAAATTCAGGTTTTTATACAGATAACATTGAAAATACCCCCGAAAATGTAAAATACAAACGAAATGCCAAGTTTGCGGAGAAACTGTTAGTCTGGATTGCATTATCGGAAAATGATTTGTCCAGGCCCTATGTAGGACATGTTAGAGACCCTGCAGTGGATCAAAATACATTCAAAATTTTCTTCCAAAATTGGTAAATTTTATTAGAGAACATCATGACAACGACAATATCATGTTTTGGCCGGACTTGGCGTCGGCTCATTATGCTAGAACCACATGCGAATGGTTAGAAGCTCAAAATGTGCCATTTGTGCCTAAGCAGGACAACCCCCCGAACGTTCCCCAAGCAAGACCAATAGAGACATTTTGGGCAATATTGTCAAGCAAAGTTTATGAAAATGGCTGGGAAGCTCAAAACGAGCAGCAGCTGCGGCGTAGGCTATTCAAAAAAATTAGGGAGTTTGCTGTTGAAGAGTGCCAAACCCTAATGAGACGCGTCAGGACAAAACTGCGCCATATCGAAGAAAATGGACCCCTAGCGGTGCTGTAGTAGTTTTTACTTATTGTTAAGGAACCACTTTGTACATAGTATTATTAGGGATAAATAAATTTTTAAAATATTTTTTTTGTGTCTTTAATTTTTTTCTCAAAACTTTTGGGACATCCGTTATGCGAAATTTTGGGGCACTCATATTAACGTTTCAGAAGGATGTTTGTTGCTATTTAAGCGCAATCCTAATTTGTAACGATGGTCTAGGCATTATACATCGGAGCCCAAACAGCAGTTAAAACAATGGACAGCGAAAGGAGAACCAGTCCTCAAGATGACGAAAGCGGTTCAATCAGCCAGAAAGTCTATGCCGCGGTATTTTGGGATACCAAAGGCATTCTTTTTATTAATTACCATGAAAAGGGTAAAACAATAAATGGACAATATTATATTATTAACTTGCTTGATCAGCTGCAACAGAAAGATCTGGATAAAAAGCCTGGATTATCGAAAAAAAAAAGTTTTGTTTTATCAGCACAATGTGCTCTGTCACGAGTCCATTATTGCAATGGTTAATGAACTGAGCTCTAAGTTACTGCTTCATGCATCAGACTTTGTTTCTTCGAACCTCCGTTTATTTCCAAACTTAAAAAAATCACGCTGACAAGAAATATATGCGTTAAAATCAACTCAAACGCTTTTTTTTTCTAAAGAGTCAAAGAAAGCGGCCTATTAAAGCGGCATAAATACCATTGAAAATTATGTTGGTGTAAGTGTATTGAGCGACAAGGAGAATATAAAGAAAAATAAAAGGGTTTTTGACTAGTGATGAGGAGAATCGGGTACTTTCAAGAATCGAGTACTTCGTTGAATTGGATATTTTATTGAATACCTAATAATGAGTGCTTGCAGAAATCGAGTAAAACGACGATATTAACCAATTTATGTACTGGAGTCACCATTTTTGACTTCGTAGTTTGGTTTTTCTCTTTTAGGCTAGTAAATATTCCTTCCATCCTTGTATATTCTAGAAATGCCTAATTCTGAATAATAACTTTTAAAACTATCGTATGCTGTAAAAATTATCGTGTCCCCCTGAAAGTATATTGTATCAAGTACTAATATATTGCTAGTACATTTATTGGTGCTTAGTCTAGGATCTGACTGTGATTGCTGCACTTATCAGTTTTTGAATCAAAATACTATTTCTATAAATAAGTATTTATAATAAAAATCAGTTTCCCAGGTTGCCAATCAAAATATGGCTACAAGTACTTTTTATTTAAATTTAATGAATTCATTTTTTAAAAACTTTCGTTTACTTGTTTTGAAAATAAAATATAAATAATTTAAAAAGAGATATGTAAAGAACTTACAAAATTTGAGTAACCGTTTCTTACTAAGCCGCAACCAGTAAAACTTAGGTATAAATGGACCCGTTCACTTTCATTTTTGAATGTGAATTAATTATATATTTATAAAGATATTAAACTCTTTTGTCTGGTGGTACTTTTCCCGTTAAGATATTTTTGCTAGAAGTAAGGGAATTCCCATAAAATTCTGTCAGTGACTCATTGCGTCAGAAAACCCCTAATTCCCTTCAGGTCTCGTATCGGTTATGCTTAAAGACGGCGGGGTTGTCGAAAGTATCCCTAATATACCATTTCTGCATTTATATATGTAATTTAAATAGTAAAATTCCATTATTTTTCTAAAAATCATGAACCTATATTTTCATATTTAAAGCTGGGAGCTTATTTTTTACTTTTTAATTAAAACAATTATTATTACTCAGGCTGAAAATTAACCAGACCATAATCAAAAAGTAGAAATTTGATTTGCAATATTAATCTGGTAAATGTGGCAACGTTGCATTTATTTCTAGAAGTGTGTGTAGACAACAATATTTAGAAGTACTTACAATGTTGTCACGTTTACCAGATACATTTTCTCAAATAAAATTTCGTTCTGGTAATATTCAGCTTGAGTAATATTAATTGTTTTTATTAAAATTTAAAAAAGGTAAGGCTTCCAGCTTTATCTGAAAATATAAACACATCATTTTTAAAAAATAATATATTTTTATCATGTAAATTTCTTTAATAAATGCAGAAGAGGAATGGTGGTGCAATGATACATCCGATAACCACGCCCTTTTAACTATTAACCGATAAGAGACCTGAAGGGAATTAGGGGTTTTCTGACGCAATGAGTCACTGACAGAATTTTATGGGAATTCCCTTACTTCTAGCAAACATATCTTAACGGAAAAAGTACCACCAGACAAAAAAGTTTAATATCTTTATAAATATATAATTAATTCACAATCAAAAATGAAAGTGAACGGGCCCATTCGTTTAATGTATGCGTTTATAACGTATTTTATTAAATTATATATAAAAGTAAAGCCTATTTTTATCTCTATCTGATGGAATGCGCTTGCCTATCTAAAAGGTCCCACAAATAGGGTTTTCTAACTGTTAAAAATACATGAAAGCAGAAAAAAGTAGTGCACCATACCGTCCATTGGACAAGGACGCAGTGTGCTTGCTCTCCGTCGTTTAAAAACTATTCGAAACAATAAAAATATTTTATATACATTTTTTTTTATAAAATTACAAAAGGAAAATGGTTTCTTTTAAAAATGAAAAAACCTCGGTAATGAATTATAAATAACTGTATTATACATAATTAAATAACACAGTCATTTATATGAGTCCTTTAAAAATCTTAAATTCAGACCTAATAGATTATACTTGTTGCCCATAGGTATTTTAAACACATAGAAACTGGCTTCACTTTCATTTTCATTTTGCTCCCTGTTAATTTTTTCATCATATATCGTTGCCATCTTTTAGCTGATAAATCATATGACTGTAGAAATTTTGCTATTTGAAGAACAAAAAAACCTCCATTCTGCTCTACTCCCACAATTTACAACTATGAAAGTTAATGACATATTTTGTTTTTGTTGAAAATGCTTCATTAATATATTAATTACAAATCACCATAATATGCATTAAAATGAAATATTTTTATATTTTTACACACCTTTTAAATCAAAACACATTTTTCAATATTATACCTTCTCTTTATAGTATCAGTATAGCACTTTACCTATCTATGCATAACAAAGAGCGGTAATAACGAGATTAAGCTAAATACTCGCCGGTCTTGGAATAACGAGTACAATGAGAGCAACCCCCACAACAATGATGATAGCACTAGTAGGCTTGCCACTAGCTACTACTTCACCATGTGATACAGAGGAAGGCAAGATTAGGTGCTTAGAAATTGGGAAATAGCATTAGACCAACTTCTTCAATATCAAACAGAACGAACCCCGAATAAGGGAGCTCAATGCCCAACGACCGGAGTAAACCTGGTACACAGACGGGTCAAAGACTGCGGAAGTTATTGGAGCTGGACAACTCACCAAAAACTCAAACACCCACCTCAGTTATGCAATAGGAAGACATGATTCAGTATTTTAGGCTGAGGTTTATGTAATGTTGTAATGTGCAACGAACGATAGAAGCACTATCGAAAATAAGCAGATCCAAATAATGTCATACAGCCAGGTTATCCTTAAGACCACATCGACTCAGAAAGTGATGTGGAAGCTGGTATATGATTGCATCAAAAATCTGAGAACATTGACAGATCGAAATAAAGTAAACCTAGTTTGATTGCCAGGTCATAAAGTGATCTAGGGCAATGAAAACGCTGACGAACTTGCAAAAAGAAGGCCAGTAGTAATACTCGAACTAGATATAAGCACTGGAGTACCAAAAAGTACAATTCGAGGTTTCATAAAAGACTGGGTTCGAAGAAAACGAAACAACTGTTTTAATGTTATAAAACAAGCACATGGGAAAACCTTTATAGCAAGACGATGTGTAAAAGAAACAGAAGAGCTGCTCTCTATGAACAGGAACCGGTTGAAAACAATAACAGTACTCATGACTGGACATGGCCCGGTGAAGAAACATTTGAACAAAATAGACGTGCATAAACGAAAAACAGCCAAACATATACTCTGCGATGACGAAACATTGGATTCCAAACCACAGGTTGTTCCAAGAACCGATAGAACCCACCCTATCAAGGATTTGTACAAGGGACAAAGGTGACAGAGTAACTTTCTTTCATTCTTATGCATTTTTAACAATTAGCAACCCCTATTTGCGGGTGCTTTTATATAGGCAACCGCATTCCAGAGTACTGATAAACATGAGTTTTAATTTGATAAATAATTTATTAAAATAGGTTACAAACATAAATTAAACGAATTTTACCTGTTTACACCTGATTAGAAAGAGACTGCGATCAAGTAAGACACAGAACCTAAATTTGTTTTGCATATTTGTATCTAAAATACATATTTTATCTTTAAAACAGGTAAACGAAATTGTAAAAAAAATGAATTTATTAAATATTAATAAAAAGTACTTACGACCATATTTTGATAGATAAAACTATATTTATTAAACAATAATTATCTATAAAAATGATATTTTTGTTAAAAACAGATAAGTGTAGTACAAGATAAGATTTCATTCTATAAAATGTTAGTAAATTCATTGGTGCTCTATTTTGCAAAAAAATTGGCTTTTAGTTTTGAGTATATCTGATTTTAGGTTATGGTTTCAGGTGTCATGATGACGATGCGGCGTTTTGGTCATGGAGTATGAGAAAATCCCATTCTTGTGCGGGCGGACACTTCTAATTATCTTGGTGTTGGCTATGACAGGATCCAAAAGCAATGGAGCCATCTGCCCAGCCGCTTGCAGATGTGAAAATGACGTCCTAAGAACTTCGTGCGCGTCTGCCTCCCTGGAATTCGTTCCAATTCAGCTCAACCCCGAGCTACACGAACTCGACCTGTCTAGAAACAAAATTGTCCACATTCACTTCTCTTTCCCTTTTTACGAAGAACTAATAGTGCTAAATCTTTCTCATAACAAGATCAAGACCTTAGGAAATTCAAATTTTCTCTCTCAGAAGAACCTGACTCACTTAGACTTACAATACAACCAAATAGAAAACTTGACCAAGGAGTCGTTTAAAGGGTTAAAAGCCTTAAGTCATTTAGATGTTAGTAACAATAGTTTAGAGGTTATTCAGGAAACAACTTTTCGTGATCTACATTCCTTGGTTGTACTAAGATTAGCTGGTAACAAGTTGGTGCATTTGGAAGCTGGTTTATTCAGGTCTGGTAAAAATTTAAAAGAAATTTACTTGAACGATAATCAGTTTCTTGAGATACCAACCGAAGCTCTAGCTGATACTGTCCGTTTGAGGTACTTATCATTATCGAGGAATTATATACGTTATATTGAAGATGGAGCTATGCCAAATTTGCCAGAACTTCATACGTTGCTACTCAACTATAATATAGTAACGGAAATTCATTCCGATGGTTTATCAACTCTTATTTCTCTTATGTATCTCGATTTAAGTAATAATAATCTGACAGTTATGCCAACTGAATCACTAGCTAAACTTTCCAATCTTACTACTTTAACGTTAAGTGGGAATTTCATTACCGTCCTTCAACCCATATCTTTTAGAGGATTATTCAATTTGAAGATATTAAAGATAAATCGATTAATGACATTGAAACAAATCGATGTCAGAACTTTCGTCGATAACATCAACCTCGAGAAAATTAACATGGACTATAACTTAGGTATTATTAAATTACCAACTAGGTTGTTTCATGGAAATTCTAAGTTAACTTATGTATCAGTCAGATTTAATGGTCTTCAGAATCTTGAAGCCATTCACTTTCCGTTAGACCAGCTGCATGAACTGCGTTTAGGGGGTAATCCATTGCAGTGTAACTGCTCTTTAGGATGGTTATGGCAGCTGATCCAGTCTTACAAAACGAAAAGTATAAACACGTCCACAAATACGAAATCAGAGAAATTAATCCCTAATATAGATCTAATCCTTGACGAGCATGATATTATCTGTGAAGGTCCAGAAGACTTGCACGGCAAACATTTATCTTCTGCTACAAAGCATCAAATGGACTGCTCCGTTGGTTGGCTGGCAGCCATTTCCGTCACCATTACAGTCATTTTTATACTCGTTGTAATAGGTGGCGTTGTCTATTGGGCGCCGAAGCGTAGAACCAAATCTAGCAGGGAAGAAAAACTTCGTAGCAGCCTACCAGAACCGAATATTCCTCGGAAATCTGATTCGTACGAAGCAGCTCAAATAGAAAAGTACATTTTGCAGCCTTCCATGATGATACACAATGAGTATAGAACGCTTACCCCTTGGGATCCTTACGGACCCAGTGTTGTAAATATTTACGAGCAAATTAACGATAACAGGGAACGTCCTCATATTGTTTATGTCTAAACAGGGGTGTCGCTATATTATTTTTCGAGGGGGCGCGGGAGTAATATATAAAATTGATTATATTTTTTAAAAAAATGGTGGAAAATAAGTATTATAAGCAATATCTTTTTTATAGATATTTACATATATTGTATCTATAAACTGTGGAAAATATAAGAATTATTATAAAAATAAAGTACAATACAATTTTTCTAATATTCTTTACAACTTTTCTGATAGTGGCACATGAATATTATTATTAATAATATATTACTTATTTATTTATGTTTACGTTAGAGATAGTGTACTCGTAATAATTTGACTGGATCATATACGGTTGTGAGAAATTAATATTTGGGTTTTATAATATTGCTGTAGATTAATTTGTTATGAAGTAGTTTTTTCCATGGTTTTGATATTGAAGGTTGAAAAAAATCACTTTTATATAAGTGATGAACAATATTTTTCCTACAACGGTAAAATAATTTTATAAAAAAAATGTAAATCAGGAAATATGACTATAGAGATGCACTCAAGATGTTGCTGTTTCTAGATTTGTTTTTTTTTTTGTATTATGCCTTATTGGTTTCGAATAATTTTTAAAATGTTATGTGCAAATTAAATACATTGTGATTCCATTTATACACAAAAACTATTAGAATACAATAATGTTTTAATACAACAAATGATAAGATGAATAACTGTGAATTAAAACTTTTGCGAACTGACTAACTGACAATAAATGCCAGCTTTGTCGATCGATGAGCGACAAAATTGACAGCTTTGTTGCTCGCCTAATTAAAACTAGGTTTAATATAATGATATTTTTTTTAATAATTTTTAAGTAATTTGTAAGTAGTTACATGTTTTTTGTTGTTATCCAATTTAACATGGTCTTTGAATATTAACTACTATTTTCATGATGAACGTAGATATAGACAACACATTATACACTACTTACGACATATTTTCAGTTATTATATCTATTTATAAAAAAAATATGATTGTAAAAATGTGTATTTTGCATGAAAAGACAGAAAGATGGCAATCTGTCGATATTTTTTCAAAAATAAAAACTATTTTGGTTTTATCTGAAATTAAACCAGGGTCACGAAATCTAAAGTTGATAAAGTTGAACATTTACGATCTGAGCCATGGAAGCTTATGTTTAATTAAATATGTGTATTAACCAGAAAAAAAAATTAAATATTGTAGTTACTTTTAAATTATTTTATTAAATGTTAAAAAATAAATATCTGGGGTTCATTTACAAAAATTAATTGAAGGGGTTAGAATACCTTTTTTTTTTTGTTAAAGTTAGATTTAACCAATTGCGAAAATGGATATAAATATGCAATATAAAGTTTCCAAATGAATTTTTTAACTTTAAAAGCAATTATTTATTGTTTCGGCCTTTACTTGATGAAAATCCATATTATCTTAAATGAGTAAAATTAAATTTGATAGATTTTCACAAAACTTGTATTTAAATTTTTTTTTTTTTAGTTTATTATCGATTTTTTCTTTACATTTTCTAGAACATTTTATTTTCCTATTTCCCTGCTATAGGAGTTTTCCTCCTTTTTAAGGTGGTCTGCCCTGATTACAAAAGTAACCTAGCTAGCTAATTCCTAATGGTGTCGTGTGCGCGTGTGGGATCTGTGTGGCAGGTTGTGTTCCCCAAGAATATCGCCAATTTTGCTATTTCCAACCCCATAAATGGACAAGTCCAAGTATAAGGTGGGGAATATGATTTAGGAAAACCACAAAACCTAAATCACGATATTGTACATATATTGTGAATTTCTAATTATATGATTGGGAAGGGTTTATCTAATACTTAGGGGGGCTGATTCCAGCAGATCCTGGAGTTCAGCGGTGAGGGGAGGTCTTGGGCGTCTGAGAGAAGTTTTAGATTTGGTTGTGGCATTTTTCTTTTCGGTTTTCGAAAAAGTGGGATTTGGTTTGGGCGCCATGGGGTTCGTAGAGTGTCTAAAGAGAGTGTGTTGGTCCCTTTCAGCGTGCGAGAGACGTATTGTTTCCTGAGGGTCTGGAAACGTGTGAGGAAGGGGGTGTTGGGGATGTTTTGGAAAACTTCTCCGCTGGGGGAGCGATAGGGAAGATACTAGCAACGTCTGAGAATACATCTCTCGAGTGTGGTGAATTTGTGGGAGAGGTGTGTGGGAAGTACGCCGTAGGGTACAGCTCTGTATTCGGCAACGGGTCGGATGAAGAAGTTATATGTGTGAATAAGAGCGTTTGCGTTACAACGCCCCATTCGTCCGCACAAAGCCCCAAGGAGACTGGCTCGTTTTCGCATCTTGTCAAGAGTGCGTTGGACATCAGAGGACCAGTTAAGTGTACGAGAAAATCGTACCCCCAAATAGTCAACTTGAGTCTGTTGAGCGAGCCTGATTCCTAGGAGATTTACATTTACGAGTTGGGAGTTCTGGGAGGTTCTTTTGGAATTTGGGTGTTTAAAGACGATAAATTGTGTTTTATGTGGATTTAATGAAACCCTCCATCTGCTACACCAGTGAGAGTACTGGTTTAACAGATTTTGGGTTTGAATATTTAGTTGGTTAGAATTTTTGGCTACCGACATTAGAGTTGTATCGTCGGCATATAGGAGGCATTTGGATGTAGGGTGGTTTGGGGGAAGAATGTCGTGTGTGTAGATGAGGTAGAGAAGAGGGGCCAGGACGGAACCCTATGGGACACCTGCGAGTGGTGTGAATGTGTCGGATAGGGAGTTGCCTACTTTGACGGTGATTTTTCTGTCTGAGAGGTAGGAGTGTATGTGTTTGGAGATTTGGGGGGAGACCTATGTTTATAAGCTTTTTGACTAGTCTGGCATGCCAGACTTGGTCAAAGGCTTTTTGAGCATCTAGTAGAACGGCTGAAGAGATTTGTTGAGAGTTTACTGGTGTGACCGCAGTAGTGTGAAGGGAAGAGATTACGTCCTGAGTGGAGTGGTGGGGTCTGAAACCATGTTGGGATTGAGGTATGATGTTTCTTTCTTCATAAAATTCCCAGATTCTTTTCTTGAGCAGTAGCTCAAGAAGATTCCCTAGGACTGATATGAGAGAGATGGGTCTGTATGAATTTACGGATTTGGGGTCTTTGCCTGGTTTGGGGATCAAAATGGTGTTAGCGGATTTCCAGGCAAGTGGAAAATAGGATAGGGAGAGGCAGGAGTTTAGGATAAGGGTTAGGATGGGAAAGATGGTTTCAGCAAGATGCTTCAGCGTTCTTCTCTGTATGAAGTCAGGCCAAAAACACGGCCTCCGTGTTTTTGGCCCGCTTGGCAGGCATATTGGATGTCTTGGAGGGTGAATGGGGAGGTGAGGGGGTTTTCGACATCCATAGGTGGGAAGGGGTCGGCAATTGTCTAAAGGACGTATTGTTCGGTCTCGTGTTTGAATTGTTCGTCAAAGTGGGGGTTGTCGGGGGTTCTGAAGGTGGCTTCAAGGTGGGTTTTGTGGGCTAAGGCTTTTTCGTCGGGGGTTGAGTGGATTTGACCGTCGATTTGGAGGTGGGAGTGTGATTTGGTTTTTTGACCCGTGATTATTCGGAATTTGTCCCAAAACTTGGAGCTGTCTCTATGATCCAAATTAGAAGAGGTATTGATCCATAGTTGCTATTTGTGTAAGTTGGTTTGGAGCTTGATCAGGGCATTGAGGCGGTTCCATTTTGTTTTGATGACAGGGTCGTGGGTACGGACGTATTGTCTATACAGGCGTCATTTTTGATAGATGAGAGTCATTGCTCCGCCGCCAACAATGACTAAATCAGTACGAGCTCCCATGCTTATGCCGCACCAAACCATTACCGATCCTCCTCCATAACTAAGTCTTGTGGAAAAATTTGCTTGGTCAAACCTTTCGCCTCTTCTTCGGTATATTCTTTCACGACCATCAAGAGAACGTAAACAAAATCTTGACTCGTTAGAAAATAAAATCTTAGTCCAGTCATGGACATTCTAATGTTGATGCTCTCTGGCAAATCGAAGGCGTGCTTTTCTGTGATTCCTAAGTAACTCCGGACCAGTTGCAGGTCTTCTGGAGCGTAATCCATGTTCTCGTAATCGCCTTCGAATCGTTATTTCGTTAACAGCTACTTGACGTACTTCTTCTAAACGATTTCGAGTCATAACAGCAGTAGTATTTCTTTTTCGCAAAACATTTATATTACAAAACGATCATCTCGAACATTTGTGGAACGTCGTTTACCAGATCCTCTCTGTCTCGAAAAACTACCAATTTCATTTAAACGTTGTACAGCTCTCTGAACGCTACACCTTGTAATACCTAATATTCTAGAAGTATAATACTGAGACATACCATGTTGTACCAGAGCAACTGCTCGTGCTGCATCAGTAGGCGTTAAAACCATGATGTTATGCTGATAATGAATATTTGTTATCCTGATAATGAATATTTACTTTAATATATAATTAAACTGCAATTGCCAAGTAACGAATATTTGACAGTTGTTATATTGTGAGTTGGCCACAGCACTCTACTTATTTTGTAGTTTATTCTCTACAGTCATTTAAATTATGACCGTTTCTAAAATGTAGCATTTTCTTTAAACCGTCACATTTCACAAAAAAAAATTAAGATATAGGGGTAAATAGACAAACAAAGTGTTGGAAACAAATCAGTCTTCTTGATAAAAAGTTAATTGTGTGCAGATCTACTAGCAGAATTACGGGGTGTGTCAAAAGTAGAGGAAAATATTGTTTTCTCTTCTCCCCTGTATATGCGGCGAGTACTAAATTACTTTTAGACATCCGAATAATAATCTTAAAACTACAGTATTTTATCTAAAAGTTGCTAAAAAATTCAAATAATTCAGCTTCCGCATTTGAAAGTTAGAGCATTTTTAAATAAATCATTATTTTGAATGAATCGAATTTTAAGTCGGTGAGTGTATGTCGATATAAAGGGTGAAAAGGATGAAAAAATTTTCAATTTCCATCCTTCTTACAATATTTATAAGTGGCATTCCCTGAACAAACCTTTCACCTTAAAATCACAATCCTAACTTATTTGCAGAT